AATTTGTATTCACAGTAGAGTGGTGTAAGTTAATGTTATCTTTTGTGTGCGCTTTAAATTATTTTAAAAATTAATATCAATGTTAAATTCAAATGTTAATGTCAAACATAAAAATTGTTAATGAATATCAAAGTAAATTATTATATTTATAATGATTGCATGTAGATTACAATTCTTATTAAATTCTATGCTATACATTGGGAAATCTATAGAATAACAAAAAAAAATCTTGTTATCCAGATAATATAATTTAATTAATAGGTACTATTATTTATTATTTAGTTCTTAAGTAACATTATTCAGAAAATAATGTTCTCACTCAAAAAGAATTTTTTGGCAGAATCAGCTGATGTTTATCCTATTACCATGATGAAGATATTACAGGCTGGCAACTGACCAGGAAAAATGCGAAAAGTCAGGGAATTTCCAAAATAGGGAGAAGTGAGGAAATCCCTACCAATTTTTGTGTGGATAAGTGAAGCCTTTCTTAAGTTATCACAAGTTTTGTGATTGTTTCGTACAGAAAATTTTAGTTTTTTGATTGTTATAAAAATTCTTATTTACAGCTTTTTTGCAGTGCGAAAAATGAATACCAACTTCGTTTCATCATAAAAAATTATTTACTCCCACATTGCTATGTCGCACAGTGGACCGAAACTCTAAAATCGAGAACAAAATACCAATTTTCAAGTATTTTATTCTCAAAAAGTTTTATATCTTCTTAAAGCTGCTAAGATAGCTGGTGACATTGGATGTACAAGAAATGGTTATTTTATAAATGTTTCTCATGATGAATAATTAATCAATATCTAATTTCGGATCCAGAAGCTACCGTCCATTTCAGTCTGATATTGTCACAAGCATAGTAGTGAACATGTTCAGAGACAATTCCGCCGCGACCACATTTTTGACACAACTTTTTTGTTATCTTTTCCTAACTTAATTGCTAAGAAAACTGATGAAAGCATTTTAATACTTAATTATCGTCATTAATCGATGTGAAACCTATTTATATCTTGTCTATATATGTGAAATCTATTTATATTTTCTTCATAAGTAAATTGAGTTTCATTGGTTCAATAGTTAAGATATTTTCTTTGTAAAAATTTTAAATTTTTATTCAGGTATGAACATTAGTATGAGAAATTGGATCAATCCTTAAATATTGACTTTATTAACTTAATTGTGGTAAGGGGCATATTAAAATAAGGTAAAATAATTTAGTGGAAACGTACTTCTCATAAATTAATTTTGAAAGTGTAGTGATATTTTCAGCAGAAATGTTTAGCGTTGATAATCTAAAATCAATGAGTGAATCGTTTCTTTAACACTTTTAACATAAATTTAATCTAAAATAAGATGCATAAAAACAAATCTTGTTTATAAGTACTGGTTGAAATAATTTTTTTGTTATTATTTTCAATAATGAACCATTGTAATCGACCAAAAAGTTCAAAAACTTAACCCCACACAAAATTTAAATTCGTAAATCGAATACACAAATTTTGTCCGTATGCCGTCCGTGCATTTTCTCCGAAACTATTGGACCTATTTTTTTTTTTTTCAAATTTAGACTTAAAGTCATATTCCAGCCGAGGTTGATCCTCCTTCACATTACTATCTGCCTTTTCCTTTCAAGATGGCAGCCGAAAAACCTGTGTTGCTATAGACTGTAGCATCTAAACGAATGTACCAATTTTAATGAAACTAGGATAAAGTCTTTTTCTCGATGTCCTTAAAATTTATTTATACAATATACTTCAACGAAAAGAAACTGGAAAAAAATTTACGAGGAATGGTATAATTAGATTTCCAAATAACTCAAAAAGTATATACCTTTTTATCGATATTGTGAATAAATGTTTCAAAGATATTTTAATTTCCTAAAAAAATGAAGAAAGTTTCATCGAAATCAGAGCACTATTAGTAAAGATATCGCGATTTTAAAATATTTTTGGTTTATTATTTTCAACAATGAACCATTGTAATCGACCAAAAAATTCAGAAACTTAACCCTCCTCAAAATTTGAGGTTTACTTCAACGAAAAGAAGCTGGAAAAAAGGTTACGAGGGGTGGTATAATTAGATTTCCGAATAACCCAAAAAGTATACAATTTTTTCTAGATATTCTATATGGTTATTTAAAACTTTACAAAATTTCCTAAATAACCAAAAAAAATCTTTAAATTTGGAGCAAAGATAAGGTCTCTTGATATTTTTTATATGTTCCACTACCAAGGTTTATATCCTTTGTTTAGGTTTAAGTGTTACTGAAGTAATGCTATTTTTTTTTTTTTTTTTTTTAGCAAATTACTAATGATGGAATAAAAAATGTTTAAACCGATAATAGGCCTTTTATTTCTTTTTTCTTTGTTATTAGTAGGTAATGTTACATTAGATATATATTTGTTTGGAAATAATAAACCACTGTGAAATAATTTGCTTTATAACTTATTTATACCTCCAAAGAAAATATGCATAAGTGACAACCAAAAAATATGTTAAAATATTTATACATTTAATGAATTTTTTATAGAATATTTTGAATAGCTTCGTGAAATACCTTTAAAAATTTAATGTAAACACATGAAAAAATATTTAACAATAAGTTTTTTTGACTTTAATGAAAAGTTAAGATTTTTTAAAAAAATTTTAGTTAAGTCCTTAAATTATCATGAAGGATTAGTCATACGAACACATTTCGGATATCAATTGATTCAGCACAAATAGGTGTGTAAAAAAATCAATCATCAACTGTTACCTATCTCACATAGTTTGCCTTTTACGGAATTTTGTCCCCAAAAAGATGCTTTCGATCCACTTTGCGTAGGTAGATCCAAATTGTGCCAATACTGTAGCTACTTGCCAAATAAAATATTTATTAAAAACCGGTCTGTTATCTAGATTATAATTTTTAGGGAGAAACAAAGTTGATAAAAATAAATAACAAATTTTGTTTGTAATTATTTAGATTTTTTTTTTTTCATGTCTCCTAGGGTTCATTGAAAAGAATGCTGGGTTCTATTTCACCAAATGCAATTTGGTTGAAATTGGTGACCCACATACAAAAATTGGGTTGTTACATTCTTTGCAAAAATCATTTAGAACGACAATATTTATTAAACTTGTTATATTGATGTAAAGTTAAATGGTCTTCATTATCAGTTCGCTCTTTTATTCTCTTTGAAATACTTCAACAGAACTTAAATTGAAAACTAACGAATTTTAAAATTTTACTAAGTCAAAGGTGAGCTCCATCACCATAAAACACATTTATATAAAACTCACCAAAATACATACATCTAAAATACATTTAACAATGCTTTTAGCATTAAAAGGGTTATAAAGTGGACAGAAAATTTACCAGAACACAAGAAAAAATATAAAAGAAGGGATATGCTGGAAAAAAAATTTTTTTTTTACTTATACATTAGAATTTATTCCCATTTCAAAATTCTTTAGCTGCACTAACTACATTCATAGATCAGTAGATATCAGACATAGATATCAATATTCTTTACATTAATTTCATTGATAGTGAAAATCTTATTTATATCTTCACCACTGAATTAATCAACATTGTGTTTAGTGTTAAGAGTTCCTCTCTGCTTTATCACAATGTTTTCTTTGTATAAATATTTTTTATCAAAACATTGCAAGTTTATTATGGTCTCTATTACACAAAACATTATCAGAAACAAATTAAGTACCATTAATGTTTTTAAAATTATCAGTTGTTTTATGTTTCATGAGAGAGAGAAGAAAAACAGAACTGACCTCAAGATGAAAAAAAGTGTAATTTTTTTTCATTGAATTCCTGCATTCAGAAAGGAAGGCAGTCAGGTTTTGGGACAAAATAAAATTACTAATTATTAAACCAATATAATAAAGATAGTATGGAGTAGATCTCTCAAGAGCATTTGTATATGGTAGAGGGTTGTCTTCATTTCCTAAATTAAGTTAAATAATCTAAGCTAATTTTCAATTTTATTTTAAATTGTTATTGAAAATAGAATAATAATGAGAAAAATTATTCCACAAAATGTTAACACAAAATTAATTATTCATTGATTATTTCCTTTGTGTATAAAACTTTGTAGTAGTTGGGCCTGTAAATAAGCTTGTTCCTTTCTATCTCTCGTACTCAGCTCAACATTTATCATCTTTGATCTGCAAGTGCAAGAGACTAAAACATCAATTTCTCTTTTAAAGTATAATTTTGTAATGTAATTACAAATATAAAAAAAGATTTTACAAGTTGAGTTGTTCTTTTAATATCTTAATTATTATATAGTAGTTTTAGAAAAGGAAGCTATGTCATGATTTTTAATGTCTTATCTTATTATAATTTTGTGTTATAGGCTTTGTTTTTTATAATTATCTAATTCATACCTATCCAAGAAACCAATTTTCTTCTATGCTTATTATGTGATTTTTTTATTTTATTTCCTTTTTTATACTTTTGTGACTTTTCATTAACCTATTATGTAGTTTCAAAGTTGAGATATTTTTTTATTTGCCTCAACTGATCATAGATTTTTTTATATAACTTATGGTGGTCATAAAACAAAAATAATTCAGTTCTTAATTCCCTATAATTAAAAAAATAATTAAAATAGTGTTGTGAATGTTATAATTTTACTGAAAATATGATTAAACAATCAAATAAAACTTAAATGAAGAAGATTTTATGAGACCGCTCATTAGCAAATTATTATTTGTCTCAAAAATCAACTTTTAAAAATATTTTTCAATAATTTTAGATATTTATCATATGAATAGAAATTGACATTCTGTAATTTCTAAAATATTTCATTTTATGTTAATTTTACTTTTTTTGTTCCTTCCTGATTTGGAAGTTTTATCTCAATGTTGACGTAATAAGCATTCTGTTGTTTCTATTATAATCTCTCAGTTTTGTCCAACTCTTCCTTGTGTAAAGTTATTCTTTATCATTAGTAGTTGTCTGTTATTGATATAGTACTAATTCTTTTTTTCAGAAACATAAGTCAGTCAGTTAAAGAAGATATTTGTAAACCAAATAGATGTGCAAAACTTAGATGTAATATGGGGGATGTGTTAATTTTTTTTCACATGTCATACTCTGATAATAAACCGGTAAGTATTTATTTTTGTTTGATGCATGGCTTGAAAATAAGGCAATTGTTGAAATTCTGTTTATCATTTAATGCTAATATAGTACAAGTTATTATCCTTCAATGTATTATTTTATTCAATAATTATTTTTGTTGTTTGGCAATTGGCAAATACTTTTTTTTTCCTAGCACTGCCAACTTTGCTGATTTTTTAAATTATTAAAAATGTGTGATGTCTCATAATGGCAACCTGATCTATTAGAGGACACACCTTTTAAGCATATTAATGAAGATTTTTGTCACAACTCACAAAAGATAATTATGCTCCAAATGATCAAATATAATTTATGATTCTCAGATATAATTGGTGTCGTTTATTTATTTATTTTTTTACCTCCTCTTTTCTTATTTGTTGATTTTCTTTTTGTTTTTAAATACTGTGTTGTTAGTTTCAATGTTATTAAAAATATTTTATAAAATTGAACATTGAACACCACACCATAATAATAATATAAAGATTGAGGAGTAAACTGGAATTATTTTTCAGCCCTTTGAGCACTCCTCATATCTGGCGAAAATGTCTGATCTTATGGCCTTGTATATGGATTTGGAAATTAAGGCATCTAGGTATAATATAATTTGCTTTTAATTATTATTCTTCACCAAAATCTTGTATTTTACCTTCTTAAATATGCAATTTATCGATCATTAGATAAAAGTTTATTTTATTTATTTATTTTTTTTAAATTGTTATTAATTCAACATATTTTTACCTTTAGGTCTGGCAATGAAATTTTGCCAAGAATAGCGAGTAGGATAACATCTTGTCTGAATGTTTTTTTTGGTGAGTTAATGAGTGATAGGTGAATATCTTCTTTTTAAAACTTGTGTGGTCCTAACATTTTAAAATTTATTTTAGGCCGTTCTCATGACTACATCCTTGATACTATTTTGAAAACCAAAATGATTGCTAAGAGTTCATGGGAGCTTTGTGATCTGATTTTTAGGTTAGTAACATGAAAATTTTTACATTAACAATAAATACTTTCTTATCTTTGTTGTTTCTTCACTGTTCCACTTCTCTAAACATTTTTCAAATGGTTTGAAGAAAATCATTTGGATGAGAAAAAGAAAATATTTTACACAATTTTCTATAGACATATGACAATTTTATCCAATTCTTGGTAGGTATTATATGTTATAACTAGTGTTTTGTAATATTTATAATTTCGCCTCCATGCCTGTCTATCATAATAATATTGGATCCTTGTGATGGCAATGATACCATCTTCTTTTTCTTCCATCCATTTGGCTTTCATTGTGGAAGTGCTTCTAGCCATTGGTGGCATGTGTTTCTGTCCCTGTAGAGGCCCCTAATTTCTCCCAAAATCTTTTTCCTCTATCTCCCTATTCATTACATGTGGGTGATAAAGGAGGTTCTTGGCCACCCTCTTTTTCTTCTTCCCATCAGTCTTACCTCCATAGCTTAATAGGTTTTGAGTGATGGTCCATATGGTAGATATACCCATAAACTCAGTTGTCTCTTCATTAAGGTTTCCGTTACCGGGCATACATTAAATTCTTTCCTAATCCTCTCATTCCGAACACAGTCTCTCCGCATTTTCCCCTCAATTCTCATAAGAAACTTCATTTCCAGGGCAGTGACATGGCTTAGTATCCTCTCATTTATAATTCTGCTCTCCACTCCATAGAGAGGTAATCGAAGGGAAATAGACTTGAAGTAGTGAAGATTTACAAAGCATCCCACTTTTTTTTTTTTCGATTACCAAGTTACAGACCTGATAGTAAACAAAATTAGCCTCAGACATTTCCGAATCTTTTGGGTTGTCCAGAAAATAATGCAGGATTTTGATTTAAAAAGAAAAAAGAAAGATTTGCAACTGTTTTATTTAATCAAAATAGTCTCAGCTACTATCCATACATTTCTGCTGGCAACTTTTCCATTCCCTCGGAATAGAATTTCCCATCTTTAGACTTGATAAACTCCAAAAACTCATTTTCTAATTCCCTTTTGTCATGTAAGTAGTGGTTCAGGTGTCTAAAAAAAGGTTAATCTGTAGACGAGATGTCCGGAGAGTATAGGGTGGATGTGACAGAGTTTCATATCCAAGCTCCAACAGTTTTTATGACATTATACGTGAGACATGTGGCCAGACATCATGCAACAAAATATGCCTATTCCGATTGACCAAAGATGGCCTCATTATTGCCGTTTTCTGATGCATTGCATTAATTTGGTTACATTGCGATATGTCATTGATGGTTTCTTCAGGAATTAAGAAACTGTAGTGTATCTAACTAAATGAAGCCCATTAAACAGTAACCATCACTTTTTTTTATGTGTTGGGAGCTTTGGAAAATGTTCTGCTGCTTCTCCTTTGTCGAGCCACTATCCATAATATCTACTGATATCGTAAAGTATCCACTTTTCAACACCAGAAACAATTCTGGACAGAAAAGGGTGGTTTTTGTTTCGGCAAAGAAGTGTTGCACAAACTTCACAACGCTAATTTTTTTTGGCAATTGCTTAATGTGTATGGAACCCAACTTTCTAGCTTTTTTACCTTTCCAATCGTCTTGAGATGGTCATCTATGGTCAATTTTCTAACTTAAGTTTCCCTGCAAGTTCTCGAACTGTTGTTCTGGAGTTTTCTTCCACCAAAACACGCAGAACATCGTCATAACATAACTTCCATAACTTGGTTATATTTTGAAAATGGTTTGTTCAATATGTCTTAAAGTTAGAGGAGTGTTGGAGACTGATATACAAATGATAAAGTATCAATCAATCCAGAACAATCCACTCATCTTAACTTTTTTAACTTCACATATGAGATGTATGTTAAGTTTCCATATGGAGTTTCTTATTTGGAAAATTGTCTGTAGCGACTAATAAGTATGCTGTGTTTAAAGCAACCCAATGTAATTGGGCAGCACCCTTTTATGATAATAAAGTGATTCTCTCCTTCTCCTCCATGTGTAAATTACTCTAATTTTAAATGCTCTAGTTATTGTAGGGAAGACTTTCCTCTCAAATATTTCAATTTTTCTTTCTAGGGTCCTAATTTGAATTCAGGTCTCACAGATGTCGGTACCTTTAATTTGAAATATCTAGAGGTTTTTTGGGATTTAAGTATATCTGAAAGAGATGAAAAAAAATAATTGTTTACTCTTATTTAAAGCGGGTTAATCTGTAATAGTTAGTCTTTTATTGAGGATATTGTGGAGCTAAGGTATTTTAATGAATTTCAAATGTTTTGTATTCAATTTATATTTTATTTTATAAAATTCTTTTCCTTTTAAGATTGAGGGTTTTATCAAAGATTATCTGACTGAAAATTCGTTTACAACTATTAAATTAACAACCGAAAGTTATCAAGTTATGTATCATTGATAGTTTAAATAATAACTTGAAAGCAACATAACATAAATTCTAAAATCCATTATTTAGATAAAATAAGAAAACTGTTAGGCAATTGGTTTTTAATTTATGTGGATGTTAAACAATAAAAAGTGGAAGAGCAAATCTTTGGATTTGTGAAAGAAAACTCAAGGTCTTCTGTCAGGATACCATAAATGTATCCACTGTGTTCCTCCATCCTGATAACATTGTGCTGGCGAATCTTTAGGATCTACTTTATCAAGAGGACTCCTATAGCCTTTGAGCCTGCCCCAAAAATCGTCCTGATCGCAGGCGAACGTTCGATTGTAAATTACGAAAGTTTATGTTATTCTGACTAAAAAGAACCTTGTCTGCCGTTCCAGAACCACTACTTTCAATTTAATTTAAAGGATATTAGACCAGTAATTTTAGGATCGAAAACGGGAAATTATTGCAAAAAATGTTAGAAAAGTTTTTATTTTTTTAACTCGTATATATGGGTTTAGACATGTAAAAAACAAAATTGCTAACGCGGGCCACCAATGGAAAACATTTTATAGCCAAAAAAGACAGATTTTTTTCTATATTTTTTGTTTTTTTCACCTTTAACTCCTGAACAATGCATCAAAGCGAAAAATATATTCTTTAATAAATTAAACAACATTAAATTAAACAACATCAAACGAGTACATAAACTTCATAATTTGGTTAGGCTCTAAGGAATAAAATCACGGTAAACCAACGCTGATGTTTACGAAATTTGTCAAAAAGTGAGACAAATTACTGTAAATGGCCCTGTAAATTGGAAATGAATTCTCTAAGAGAAAAAACCCATAGAATCAAAGTTGTGAAGAAGAGGCTTATTCTGCATGTGACAGACTAAACAAAAATAACTCAGTTGAAATATTAAAAATCACGTTTACCTTCATTACCAATTTCTGTATAATCGGGAGATTACCGATTTTGTTCGCAGTAAGTGACCTACTCAGTTGACGCAAAATTTAATTCTATGGTTTTTTCTCTAAGGGAACTCATTTCCAAGTTACAGGGCCATTTATAATAATTTGTCTCAGTTTTTGACAGCGTAACCAAATTATGAAGTTTATGAACTCGTTTGATGCAAAATTTAATGTTGTTTAATTTATTAAAGCATAAATTTTTCGCTTTGATGCATTTTTTAGGAGTTATAGGTGAAAAAAACAAAAAGTTCTGACTTTTTTGGTTGTAAAAAGTTTTCCCTTAGTGGCCCATGTTAGTAATTTTGTTTTTTACATGTCTAAACCTATATATACAAGTTAAAAAAATATCAGCAAGTACACTGATTTGTAGATGTAAAACTTCATATGTCTGTTTACTGTTCACTTTCGAATCAATGTATTGAAAATTTGATATTAGTCCGGGTTTTCTTTATTTTTCCTATGTTTGTAAATCTTTGAATCCACTTTACGCAGACCTTTCCATAACTGTTCCAAGATAGGCGAATCCCTGACTGCTTCCATTTCTTGTCTGTTACAATACACCTGAAGATCTTCCTATTTCTGTAGTATTCTTTCTGTTTGTTCTATCTATAGTATCTTTAACTTTATAGTGATTTAATAGGTATAGTTCTAAAGGAAAATATGATAGTAAATACAGAGTAAGCTTCTTTTAAATGTTTTTTTTTTTTCATTTTTAATTTCAAATTCATGATAATTCAACTGGATAATATTTTTTATATGACAGTTTTTATTGTGAATCTTATTTTAATAATTGGCAAGTGGAACAGTTGAAAACATTTTCCATGTACATTCATAATAATTATTTTTAACCATATTTATTAATTCTTTTAAGGATCATTTGTAATGAACTAATCAGATAAAACAACAATATGTTATTCTTTATTTTTTTTATAAATATGTATTTAAATTTTGTATATAATTAAAGTTTAAAATAGGATTTCATGAAATGGGATCTAATCTTGCTCCATCCTGCTCTCTCATTTTCCAAATAGAAACCAAGGAAGGGGAGTGATCAGGGCTTTGGAGAATCTTGCTCTCTTTTTAGGACAATACTGTCCAAAGCAGATGAACCACAGTCACAGAACACCACAGTTATTCATGGAATTAATACCCTTAGAAACAACGAATTCCAATCTTTGATGATTGAAGATGCACTAACACCTTTCCCATATACTGTACCATAAGAAGGGAGTTACATCATGGCACAATTAGGAATATTGTAACATTTTTTTCCTAAAAGTACTCTTAGACTTCGTTTATTTGAGAATTCAAAATGTTATTCTGTTTTTTGAACATGAGTGACAGTTTCTTTTTTCAGTTGAGTGATATATTGGTTGGGGTATCCACACCATTAACTAATGTTTAGTGTCAGTGATATTGCATTTCTTTCTTTTGACTTGTAAGTCTTTAGAAAGGAATGAAATTCCAGTTAAAACTTCACAATTTCAAACACAAAGTCTTGAGTCCTAAAATACAGGAAAACAAACTAACCTGTCATTCAGATTCAGGCATAGTTAGGACAAAAACAGCTAAGATCACATTTGATGACACAAAACTCCATAAGCCCAAATACAAAGATAACAACAGCTTAGGAAAGAAGGGAACAGCTGTTTGATTTATTTCTCTTTTGGTTTATAAACCGGTTTTTGTCTCAATGATTCCTTTTGATGATTTAAAAAAACAAAACAAAATATTATTTTTTATTTTAGTTATTTAAATTTGTGAATATTAGTTTCAATTTACCTTATTTAACATAAAATAACTTTGTTTGATAGGAGAGTGCTGAGGGAATGTCCAGGTTCTTCTGCTTATGTGCTAACATTCATTAGATATATTCTTGCTTTCAAACTGTGGAAAGTGATAGTTGTCACTAAAAAAGACAAAATAACTATTCAGTCTGTGGCAGAGATACACCTAAAACTGCCTCCACTTTTCAGGGAAAAAATTTCTGTATGTGCTCCATTAAGAGATATATTACCAAGAATCCCCAAGGCTAGAACAGACATTGTAACATTCCTTTTAGAGGCCAAATACAGTATTAAGGATAAAATCAAGGTTTGTTTTATTCACACATGTTATGAATTTAAAATGGTTTAAGGATGGTTATGATAAAATAAAATGGATTAATTTAGAAGCTATGAAATACTTAGTAGCAATTTTATCAAAATTATTGATTATTTTCTTGTATTATTTTCATTAGTTTTGTATTTCTTAAATAGCACTAAAAATTAAGGTGATAGTTAAAAAAATTATTATCTATCATCTGTTACTAAAATAATGGTTAAATGATTTTGTAGAAGCAGAACAATGAATGACATTTTATTTATTATCAATCGATTAAATATGAACATATTTTATTTTATTTTACTCTTTAATTTTTTTTCTCCCAATCAATATTAGTGTGAATCTCAATATCAAATATATCTTAAAAAGGTGTTACTTAACTATTATAATTTTATAAAATAAATAAAGTTTATACCATAGGTGGGGAACCAAGGCCTCGGAGGCCGCATATGGTGTCTCTGACATATTTGCAGCCCCCAAATGTTTTTGTGAGATATTTATAAATCTAGTTCTAGAATTTATTAATATTTAATTATTTAAGACAATAGTTTAGAAATTAATTGAATAAAACTGAATGTATGAATGTGGTTGTGTGTATTAAGTGATAAATAAAAATAGTAACAGTTAAACATAAAAAATGATTAAATAAAAATAGTAACAGTTAAACATAAAAAATGATTGCGACCTTCATTAGAATTGTCTAACCCTACTATGGCCTCTAAATCATAAAAAGGTTCCCTACCTATGGTTTATACATTTGAATTATGATATGTTTTATGATTTTATGAGTAATCATCATAACTTGATTATTAACTAAAATGCTGGATGGAAACAGGTAAAATATTTTGGGTGTGGCCGGTAGCCTACTAACAGCTGAAAAACTATGAAGTAAACAAAGTTTTTTTTAATAACCCATTTTGGCTTGAACAACCTGATCTGATTGTGAATATTAGTATATAGTAGAATATAGATTAAGGCTTAATTCGAATTCAGCAGAGTAATTATTGTTGGTTTATTGCAAAAAGTCAATAAGTGGCTCTTCTATATAAGTTAACTTAAACACAATTAATACACTAAAAGACACAAACCCTTCAGTATACCAAATATAGTTACAAAAAGCGCACATTTTCTGATTTCATTAAGGGAAAATTCTTCAAAGTTCTTAACTATTTAAGTTTATGAAATGTCACTGAATAACTTTCAATAAACTGACAATATTCTAGTCTCTCAACGAAATTGAAATATTTTTGCCGAAATAGTTGATATTTAGACAAAATATTTATGAGCTAAAGCAAGACTTAGGCCTTTGTAAAGAAATCTTTGATCAAATGATTAGATGTAGGTGTAGAACTCTGTGACTTGTAACCAAGTCAACTGTTAAGGAAAATTGCATATTTTAATATGTCTATTTAATAAAAATTGAGATATTTTAATCCATATGTTCAACAAAACTCGTTATCATTACGTTTTCGACACTTATCTTTTCCCTTTCTGACTCTTACTCGGTGTCACGTCAAAATACTATTTTATTTATAGCTCCTTACAAAGAGGGTGAAATACTGGAAATTTCCTTGCTTATATCATGCATGTTAGTCAGATTTTTAGTTTCTTAGATATTTTAATCCATTTGTTCAAAAAAATTCATTATCGTTTGTTTTTCGACACTGTCTTTTACACTAAAGAACTTTTCAATTGATAAAATACCTCCCTCCAACTGCGGCTTACTATAAATTTATTGTAAGTATTCCACATAAATAGCAAACTTATTATGATTCCTCATAAACATTCAAGAATTGAATCTATCAATATGTATAAAGTAGCATAGGTTTAAGCTAGTGATCAAGCATTTATGGTACTGAAGAATGATAAAACTTTAAACTACAGCTAAAATTTTATCAAATGCCAACGGGCTGAAAATTTTTCTATATCTAATACCTTTCATACATCTAACATCCTGTCTATCTTTTTCTGAAATGATCCAAAATTTAAATCACCTAAGTGTAATGGTTATAGTTAAACAAGATAGTGCTCATATAAGGATTGTTGAAAATAATGACACAAAATCAGCATCAGGACATTTCAACCTCTGAATGATCTATTTTTCTCAGTAAGCTTCAACCTGATTGGTTCATTTAATCCTTCTAAATATTAGACTTTATATCAGAATTTTGTTAATGTTATTTAAGAGTGTTTTGTTTATTCACCATTGTTGGTTCCCTGTCTAAAATTTATTTCTGATTATATGATTTTTACTTTCACTTACATATATATGTAATATATAGTTAGGGTAAGTATTGCGATCGTGAAAATTTTCGAATCTCAGTCTGATATTAAGTATTTAAGGTTCGTATATGGGCCGGATGTGACAGCAACTTTTTCCTTAATATCGGCTAACTGATTTACTAACTAACTTTATATGAACGCTGAAACACATTTTTACAATTTTCTCAAAAACGGCTCTAACAATTTTGATCAAACTCGCTGTATCATTGTATAATTAAGTGGTCTTTAATATCATTTAGGTCTTATCTCCATTGATGTCACTTTACAGGGCTCTAATGCCCAATGTTCATATATGTCTTCCTCTAAAGTACCTTTAATATGGTTTATTTTAAAAAGTTAACCATTTTGCATTATTCAGAGTTACGAAAAAATGCTACATATAACTTTCTAAAGAATTTGATAAGTTAATAAAGGAGTAAAATAAATAAAAATGCAGAGAAACCTGCGTGGCTATAGACTGTAGCGCCTAAACAAATGTACCTATTTCAATGAAACTTCGCTAAAGTAATTTTCTCGATATCTATATAACATACTTCAACGAAAAGAAGCTGGAAAAAAAATTATGAGGGATGTTAAAATCAAATTCCAAATAACTCAAAAAGTATACGTTTTTTGGGGAATATTTATGTTTTTTTTTAAAGTTTATGGAATTTCCTAAATAACCAAAAAAAAAATCGTTAAAATCGGACAATTAGGAGGAAAGATATGGTCTCTAGTTTTTTTCCCTGAAGAGGTGAAAATTTGGATAAAATTAAAATATATTTTTTTAATTGTTGAGACTAAAAAACCTCTTTTCTACAGATATTTAATTAATGAAGAGTCTTTCCTAAGAACATCTTTCATAAGAAATAAGTACCTAAATTTATACCTTTATTCTCAGTTCTATATTTCAGCACTGCAATCACCACCTCTGGAGTCAACTTACTCATTGTCTGCATAGATAACTTTTTCAATTAAAAATATCACTAAAATGACATCATTCAAAAATGTTGAAATTGGAGTTAGTCATTCTGTGGTTTATAAAATCAAAGAAAGTTGTATGGTTTATAAAAGCAGATGGAGTGACCTGTCATCGATATATTAAATAGACATTTTGTAATTATAATGGTCTTAATGACTTGTTATCTGTAAGCTTTAAGCTTTAGCTCCGTTTAAAATGCACTTCAAAAAATTTTATAATAGCCCAGCATTGCCAGAAAATAATTTCTATTCAAAGTAGATTGGTAAATGAAAGTTTGTTATAAGTATATAAATTTTAATCTACAGTTTATCATGTTGTCTCCTCTCTCTAACAACAATGAAGTAGTTTTATTTTATCATTGTTTGTATCAAAATACAAATTCTATTTCATTCATTGTTTTAACCCAGTGTCCAGTATTTGTCAATAATTTATTAGATATAAATGTAAAATTATTTAAAATAGTATGTCAAATAGTTAAAGTTGGCAACATAACTTCAAGTTGACTTATATTTTTTCATTTATTCCATTTTTCACGTTTCATTATATTGTTAACATATATGGGAAATGTTTTCCCATCATTAAAACATATTTGCTATTGTCAGAATGTTCTCTACAATTCGATTAATTAACAATCAGCTGAGTATTTTAAATTACTATTATTTGTAGTCAATTTTACTTTTTATTGTAAAACATTTGATTTTGTGGTTAAAATATGAACAATTTCAATTTTTCAGATGTTCTTGAAAGCAGTTGATGATCCAAAGGTACAATGTGCTCTAGATCATCATCATTTTTCACCTCTAAATAATTCCTCTATTTCTGCTGAAAAGGTATTGTTTAGTTTATATAGATGTATACCACATATTTCATTTGACCAGTTCTTTTTCATACTATTTCTTATTCACAATTATTGAAGTATATTAGGTCTCATCATTTTATTTGTTCTAGGAGGATAATGACAACAATTTGTTAATGAATGATTGGTCTAATATGAGTATAGAAAGTGATATTGGTGATAGTTTATTGTTAAATAAAATTATTTATGGGTCCGATAACAAAAAATTGCATAAGCTTAAAAACGGTCTTAAATCTATTAGTAAAAATGAAATCAAAAAGAAATATAAGAAAATCGAAATTCCTCTAGAAGACATTGGGGAAGATGACAAAGAAAGTAGTTTTGAAATTGCTGAAGACAATACTATTAGTGTCATTAAACCAGAAGATGAAGAAATAATTAAAAAAGATCAGATCAACCCAGTTGATAGTGTCTGTGAAGGCGACACAATGGAAGTGGCAGCTGAAGTTGAACTTCCTTCAAGTCCTACTGAATTTATTGATTTTCCAACCATCAAACTCGAGCCACAGCCTTCTCAAGGGAAGGACAACATGGTTTACCCATGGGTTATGCCCAATATGCAGTCTTACTATAGACATAATAGCTATGATTATGGATTTGATCCTAAATCTGAAGAATATGTTGCCGATAAAACTCCTGAGAATTTGCAAACTGGTATTTTCGAATCGATCAGCAAACATGAAATTGATTCCAATAAGGGGCAGATTTATTCCAGTGTTGGAAACTCTTTTCCACCCCAGGGGTTAGGTATTATACCTTCAGAAAAAGTAATGATGGACACAAAATCAATTGATGCATTAAGAGCTCGAGGGATTTTATATGAGAAATGTTTCCCTTCAGGGGAAATAAATATTCCTATTGAAGAACGTAATGATGATGTTCAATCTGAAGAAATACCTTTAAGAGAGCATAATGAACAATTACCTTTTGAGGAACATAATGATGAGGAAATGTCTGCAGAAGAACTTGATGTAGTAAATATCAATCCAAGATGTTTTAGAGCTCATAATGAAGAGAGTCTTTTAGAAGAATGTATCGAAGAAAGAACTAAACTTAATGATGTGGACAAAACATTAGAACTAAATAGAGTAATGCCTATAGAAAATAATGAAAAGCCACCTGAAAAAGGGGGTTTAGTTCACGATTTTACTTTAAGAAATGATAACATAATCTATAGGTTCCATTTGAAACTTACATCATATATACCAAAACTGAATAAACGTTCTTGGATTAATCTTCTCTATCCTTTGTTCTCTGAACAAGAGATCAAGACACCTAGGTGTTCTTGTCCTCGATGCACACAAAATTTTTATTTATTAATAAAATATTGGAAAATTATTCTCAACTCAATATCTCAACTTCCTGATAAAGCTGATGAAAATGGAGTATATTCTGATGATTTCAATAAAAATATCTTAAAAGAAATGATAGATGCATTAGATGAAAGTGATGGTTTTAAATTCTTAGTTTGGGAATCTGAAATAGATGAAGTGTACAAAAAAATAGAAGAGATCGTTAAAGAGGAAAATGAACATTCCAATCTTCCTCTAAAAAAGCGGAAAGCCTTCTCATTTAGTTCATTTGTTAAAGAAGAAGAATCAGAAATGTCTTACCCTAATATACCTATGATGAGTATTGTTGAGTTTAAAGAGAAGTTCCCACACATCAATATCAATGATGTTATTAATGTCAATGACATTATCAATGTGATTAACTTAAGCCATCCTACAACTACAAATGCTCCCCCACCCCCAATAAATTATACGCCTGATTACATCTCCCATCCTACTTTCCCTAACCCAGCTGATATTAGGTATGATAATGTAATGGTTCAATCTAACATTACTAATGTCCCTTCAGATCAGAATCCAGTTCCTGGAGCATTTACTACCACATTTATTCCTGAACTTCAAGAACAAAATAGGCCCAAGTTCAAAACTCCTGCACAGCTGAAGGAGTTTCAGCACCTTAGTGCAGCTGAAGATCTAATTAACTTTTCACTAACATCACGGGCATACTGTAATGAAAATGAAGAACCTAGAATGGAGAACGAAAGAGAGAAAAAAAAGACAAGGCAAAAATCAAAATCATCCAGGAAAAGGAAACGAACAACGTAAAATACTTGCCATTATAATGGAAGATGCTGTGAAATAGTAGCTTTTCTACAAATTTTACTATACATATTTTGTAATTATTATCTAATAATAAGTATTATTTACTTGTATATAGAATGTATAGACTTAAGCTTCATAAGGAGAGTTTATTGTCTACTGAGCTTTATTTCTATTTTTTTAATTATTAGGTTAACGAAATTGGTATATTTCATTATTTAGTATATTTAAAAGCTGTGATATATTTATGTTTTAAAAGATATATGAGATACTTAAATTGGTACAAAGGCATTATGGTTTCATATTTGTATTATTTGTTTTCAATAATTAAAATAATTTGTTTAGATGTGCCTTTTAAGTTTCAAATTTAATCCTGTTAAAATCATTGCTCAATTAATCTAAACAGAAAACAAAATGAAGAAAGAAAAAACGAAGTAAGAAGAAACATGAAGCCTTAGTGTTCAATATTATTGATCCATTCATCGTTTGGAAATAATCTGAACAAGTTTTTCATCTAATAAAATTGTTCAATTCCCAATATTATTTATATTGGATGCCTGCTTATTGAATCGTTTTTTAAACATCACTTGATTAAATTATATAAATTAATGACTTTAAAGATTTAATTTTACATCACTAACAATTGTGAATAATATTATTCTTATTTAGTTATTTGAATATTTAAGATGACTTATACACATGTTTATTTTATCATAATATTCATGTGCTGTAAGATTGAAGAAATGTGTAACCTGGAAGGTGTGTATACGAGACATATATTATAAACACAGTAAACTCTCTTATCTGGCAGATTTTCAAATCTGAAAAATACGAATTCACTTCTTATAATTGAGAAAAAATTCACCTTTTTTTTCGATAAATAATTAAGGAATATAATATATAAATATAAAATTAGCATGCCACTTTAATTGCAAGCAAAAATCCTATTTAAAATAACTTATTATACCTCTATGTGTTTATTTGTTGTTTAAGATTTAGGTACATTCATGGTTTGTTTTCCATCGGTAATTATTTGAAATTTAATTTGTTAAATATTCTACAATTATCTTCTAGTTAATTACCCAGTTTATAATCAGAGGTGCTCAGAAGTGAAGGCGAAGGAGGTTGTATGGCACAAGTTGTGCCATCAAAATTTTTGAGAGAGGCATATATTTTTGTGGAGTTTCAATTTGAAGGAACTTCCAAATCAGAGAACTGGGGACAAGACATGGAACAAATTTACAATCAATGATATCCAATCATTTACAATTTTTCTTGTCATACTCTTCCTTGCTCTGTTGTTAAGAAGAGGGATTAAATTTCTTTGGAATTTAATATGGTCTCATCAAAGAAAGTGGTTACATTTCATTGATGATAACAGAATTCACAATAGAAAGAAATAAAATTTAAAAAGTTTTGAAAAACTAATAAATCCTTAAAGATTTCTATAAGGAACTCTTTGCGAATAAACATCTCAAAGATAATAAACATTGGTCAACCAAAAGTAGTTTCTTTTAAAGTACTTATTGGGTTTAAAATGAAAACAATTGTGCTTATTCTGTTTACAACCTCAGTATAATCATAATTTTAATAATATATAAATTCTACCGTACCTTTATAAAATATATATATTTTATTTTATTATAAAATATAATTCATTTTCTGATTGAACAATGATATGCATTGTCTAAGATCCTTTAATGGTTGAGATAACGCCAGATTAGGGAGAGTACTGTATGACATTAATTAGACCTCTTATAATAATTACTACTTTTTTTTTATTACTAAAAGAGTCATTTTATAACTAACTAACATACTTAATTTTTTTTACAGTCACGACTAATAAAAAAAAATGTTTTAAGATAATATCAGTTATTTATTACAATTAATTAAAGATATATATATAAATATTTATTTATTATTACACAATTATTGTTTTTGTCTACCTTATTAAATTTTTACACTCATGTGTGTGCGTATGTTTTTATATATACATTTTCACTAAAGTATTTTAGTTATGTTGTGTATTGAAGTTTTATGAGATATTTTATATCTAACATTATGTCGTTTTTTTTTTTTTTTTTCAAATTAGATGCCTGTGGTAACGAAGAAAAAAAAGAGATACAAAGGATGATTGTAATATTTATATTCTTTGGTGCAAAAGCATAAACTATTGCTCTTTTCTTAATACCATTCAAGGATGCTATAGTCCTCCAGGAAACGCATTTGCTTCTAAATGATGTGTAGGCTCACTGATATTCTTTAGGTTAGTAATCTGTACACTTATTTCTTTACCGCTTATTATTATTCTACTTACAATCGTCTATTATTTTGTCTTGAATAATCAAGATGTTATTGTATGTTGGTCCATTTAATGAATCTTTGTGTGATGTAGTATAGTAGTCAGTAATTTGTTTATCAACAAATTGTTGATTTATACCAATAATTGTTTTGTTAGATAAAAAATCTTTATGATAAGTTTATTATTTATGTTATTCAAATTATCAGTTGCCATTTTTTTGTCTTGTTTTAGCTGATTTTTGAAGCACATAAAAATGTAGGAAAGGACAAAGATGATTGTTGGTGTAGAGGAATATGTCAGAGGGCGCTATCTATTCTATTATGGTGAGCTTTTTTATATCTCACACGCACATATATATATATTGTTCTGGTTTTATTATAAATGAGTTAACTATAAAAATATTGAATCAAATATTTTTATATGATAGTAAATTTAATGGATGCTGAGGGCTTAATTGGTTCATAGACTGAATGATAAGGATCAAATAAACAACACTGATGCATCTAATATTCTATTTAATAAATAAAACATTTATTAATGGAATTTAAATTTATATTATCTATCTGTACAAAATATTGTATAATTTACTGCTTATTAGAATGGTCTTAATGGTAGCTCCAAATTTATATTGCTCCATCAATTGAAGATGGTCTTCATCCGGTCTATGTTTTTCTAACCACTATATACATGTTATCACTAAAGTTTTCGGGAACCGGCAGACCCCATGCATTCTGGCCAACGGCTGGGAGACGACTGGGGTGAAGCTAGAGAGTGGAGGCTGCTTCCTTCTCTGATCTAACTCTTAACCTATTGTTTTAATGTAATTACTTGATTAATACATTTTTTAATATATAATTCTATATTGAAAGAAGTCAGTCGACTGTTCAACATACCGTAGATGATAAATAGTCAGGACTTAGTTATTTTTAGACTTTTAATGTTGTTTCCAATGTTTCAACCCAAGTGGCATGTGGGTCATCATCAGGACTAAAAAATTTTTTTTATAACATCATAGATATAATACATAAAGACAAATAATAGTTTCTAATGGTAAATAGTGATGGATGATAAATGAGTTTAACAAATGAAATTTTTAATGAGTTATACAAACTATATAATAGTATACATAATCAACTTATAAACTGTAATATTTAATATTACTAACCATGTTTCCAATACTGAAGGTTTTCAAATGCTGGCACCTAGGTAGTATGTAAGTGAGAGTTCTGGGGGAGGATTTTCTCAGATGTGCTTTCTAGATAATAAACTTAGGGACAACAAAGTCAGAGGATTTCGGTAGCATTATTACTAAACAATTCTATAAATAAATATAATATTCATGTTAACATCTATTCAATAGCTAAGTTATATCCACGACCTGGATTTTATGCAATTGCATATTTCGTTAGCATGGTTTTTTTTAACCGCTGATCAAAAATCTTTACGAATTAGAACGCTGTGATGCAATCAGCCAAATTTGATTTTGCATATTTGAGGTTAAATGCATATATTTGCATGTTGGAGGATAAATGCATATAATTTCATATTTTAATTAATTTAACAAAATAAAAATATATAAATGAATATTTATTTATATATATAGTCAATATATATCGGTTGTAATTCGCTTTGCTTTTAAGCCCGTAATGCAATCAGAGAACCTTTCCTAAGAATAACCCTTTATCCCTTTATTTTCAAATTACATAAATTGTATCTGGAGAGATAAAAAACAAAGTGGAGAAGAGCTGGCTTTCATTATTGAAAAGAAGGGTTATTAATGCAATTTTTTTTCACAATTACAACTACATATCGTCGGGTTTCTTGAAAAATGTCATCAATTTATACAAGTATGTTGATTAATTTTCTATGTGTGAAATCAAAGCATTGTGAACTTTGACTAATCTTGATATATAATGGTTTAATCTTATTTTGATACACTCAAATATGTTTTCAAAAGTTAGGCTCTATCAAAAGTGTATTTCATGACAATTTGAATTAAACTGATGAAATGTATGTACTATAAGCCCCCTCAACCTTAGCAAGAAATGCATTCTAATTTATTCTTGTGAAATTAAAATTATCTAATGTTAAAACCTAAATAGTTTATAGATTTTAAAATAGTAATTAAATCTGAACAACAGAAATTATTTAAATATGTGTTTATACAATAAATATTTTTTGGTTTGTGTATACTTTATATGATTTCGATATTTTCATTTTTTTAATGTGGCTCATGTCATGTTTTCGACTATTATAATGTATACATATATATATCTATTATAATGTGTATATTATTTTTTATCCATGTTTAGTTGTTTTCATTCTTTAGTTTAGATAAATATCTAAACTTTAAAAAAATTTAAAAAAAAAACAATTGAAATTATTGTAATTTTTAATCCTTCTATAATTTCATTTTGATTTTGAAACTTTTTATAGGCACATCAGTATATTTAAATTCAGTACTGACAGATTAGTAATCAAGTAATTACTAAGTTTAGCATATTTAGAGATTAGTTACTGTATTTTTAATGTTTTTTAGTGCATATTTCTGGGTTTTTTAATACATATTATATGGCATATTCTGTGGGTTTTTACTGTATAAAAATCCGGGCCTTGGTTATATCTTATCATTAACAAATTATAACTATTGATTTGAAATGATAATAAATTAGAAAGCAGAAATGATATTTCTATAGTTGGATAAATATTGTTGTACATTGATTGATAATTACGGTTTACAATACATTATAAGAAATAGACGTAATACGTAGTACAATATATTATATAATATTTTTATGGTTTCTTATGCTTATAACGTTCTTGCATTTCTAATAACATTCCACCTCATAACTATTCCTGTATGTTTATATATATAAAGGGTATCCCATTTGTAGAGGGAAATATTTAAAAAGACGATAGTAGACATCAGGATCTACTAAAAAGTTCCCCAATTTCTAGCAGAAAAGTAGGAAAATTTAGATTTGTGTTTTTTTAGTGTCACATTTTTTGTTGAAAAGGAAATGATAACAAAAAAATGTTTGATTTAAGGAATTAAATATTGCTCCATGGTTAACTCAATAAAATTTACTTTCTATGAAAGTAGACATTGTCTTTGTTAAAACCATTTAAAGAGAACTAATGAGTGGACAAACTCAGCTAAATGCTGTCCTAAAAAGTATTTATTAGTTGTTTTTTTTTATTGCCCTTCAACTACATTTACACCACTTTTAGAAAAACATCTTCGTTTAATAAGCTATAAGTTCTATATTAATTAAGTTGAGATTTATTAGGTAAAATTTTGAGATTCACCTCAAGTTTTGTAAAGAAATAATGTGATTTTCTACTAAAAAAGCTTAAATGTCAAATTTTCAAAATTCAATGCAATTTTGATAATTCTACATTTAAGCCCTTTTAGGCTAGTTTAATGAGGATAAGACCTAGCTGATATTAAACATCATTTAATTGTATATTGATATAACAAGATTAGTTAAAATTGTTATAGCCATTTTTAGAAAAATGTGTAAAGTTGATGGTATAAAATGGGACTTCCGAGTAGTTGATTTTATGGAAAAGGTTGCTATAACATCTTAGGCGTATACCTACCTTAAATATGTAATTTCAGTTTTATTAAGATCTGGCACTCCTAATGGGCCATGAAAACTAAATTTCTCAACTTATGCAGAGTGGAAGAAATAAGTTCTGTCAACCTGTAGTCTGAAACGCATCAATAAAATAAAATTATAACTTTTTTTTGTGCAAACATTAGTTGATACTTTATTCAGAGCCGAGGTGGACGATGGAGATAACACATGTTTGGCAACCTAACAAACAAAAGTTTAAATGGTAAATTATTTATGAGTTTGCATCCCAGTGCCAGGGAAGCTTTTAACTCGGACTGTCATTAATTAGTCTGTCATCCCTCTGGCCCAGGTCAAACCCCAGATAGGCTAAAAGGCAAGAAAGGATATAAAAAAAAAAAGAAAGAAAGATACCTTACTCATATTTCTTAATAACTGAACTAGGCAGTGTTAAAACTTATATGACTATATCATAGTATAACTAATTAACGTTAGTTGATTTGATAAATAATTACAGATTTTTTTTTCAGATATAATTACTTGAAACATCACAGGATTATTTTTAGTTTTATATTATTTAATTGCTGCAATGCCTCATCTTTTTTTGGAATGACTGCATTTGTCCATTCCTGTTTTTCGTGATATATATGTTCAAAGTAAGACCTAAACGATAAAATGAAATGAGTTTTTCTCTGTATTAACTTTAGTTGTTTTTACATTTCTTATTTTATGTTTCAAGCTCTGAAGTATGTTCCTGATATATTTTAATTCGAAGAGTGTAAATATTGTAAATGTATATAGATATTCATAATTAAATTTTAAATAATGTTTGTATATAATGTGAGTACTTTGTCTCTAAATAAATGTATACATCATTAATATATATATTTTTTACACTTATATTCAGGGATACTTTTGATTTATAATTTAACTTTATACAAGATATATGATATAATTTTGCCTGTTTTGTAAATTATTTATATTAACTATGAAGATTGTTTTCTATTTTTCACTTGCAAAATAGTTCTTCATAAGAACATTTTATTTTCATAATTATATATTTTAAAATATATTGTTTAATAGATTTTTAGTGTAATTGTTGGTATTAACAATTAATAATTGATGTTAAATATAAGAATTTATGTGTACCTTTAGCAATGTACAACTTAAAATGAATTCCAATTTTTAGCATATATGCTGTGGAAGATGTTTACTATGGAATGAAATGTTTCTGATTCATCAATGATTCCATAAGATATACTCTTAAGTTGTATGTATGTATCTTATTAATAAAATTATTAGTAAATGATATGTTGTTTAAGTGATTGATCCCATATTTATGAAATTATCATGTGTCAGAATTTTCCAATTTTGTATGAAAAATGATTTTAAAAAATGCCTATCTGGTGCACATATTAATATATATGTATCCATGCACATATAAAATACTAAATTTGATTTAAATTAAATCCATTTGTGAAGATCCACGATCATAACCAAAGCTGTAATTCACATTAATCTTGAAAGGTTTTCTTAAAGTGTCTATTACTGGTACATTTACCTTATACTGGTTTGGGCTTGGTTGATCAACAAAATAATAATATTCAGCTGGTAGGTTAAAAAAAGAAAAATAATAATCTCATCAAATAAATAAATAAACAAAATAATATTAATAAATAGGCATGGTAAAGAAAAGTATGAAAAAATAAATAAATAAAAATAGGATCGGCGGAGGATAGTTATAAACTAATTAATATATACTTCTAACAAGTTGTAAACTTGTTTAATATATTTTATTAGATTTTCTCTGAGTGGGAAATTGGTAACTTTTTCCGCTTGATTTCTCAGGAATGCTGATATGCTGATTTCTCGGGAATAGGATACTGAACTTCCAATGCTAAAGGTCTCAGGTTCAATTCCGGCTCATGGCAGATATATTATTTATTCTGTTTCATTGGCCGTGGAGTGACCCTGGAATAGGGAGACCCTTCTGGGGCACACTCAGCCTCTATAAAGTGGGTACCCTTAATTAAAATAATTAATTAAGATGAAAAACCAGGCGGTTGAACGTGATCTCGGTCAAATCACCTCTTTGCACAACCATAGAGCAAGAAACAGTGTTTTCCCTAAATAGTACTGAACCCAAGACAGTTCATGGACTGTAGTGGTACAGGATGGTGATGATAATGCTGATATGTTCAGGAGTATTCCAAATTTTGTTAACCTTGTGATGTGAAATCGACATTATTTTAAAACTTGTTTTATAGATAATACCTTGTCACATTTTTGACATTTGGGAATAAACCCTTTATAAGTTCGAGGTTTGTCGCTCTGTTATGGCCAATCCTCAGCCGCAAGGACGAATTCTCTGCGCTTGCTGCTTTTGGAGCTGCTCTATGGTTGCACATCTTTCTTTATTGTTTTTAGTTTGCTAGGTGTGCTGTTGTCCCACAACCTTTGTCATTCTTGGAATATAATTTCAGTTAGTGGCGGCGTACGTCCATGTGCAGTCAAGAAAGGTTTACCGCGGCCTGGAAGGGTAAGAGCTTCTTTTTCTGCTATACCAGCCATTTCTTTTCTTTTAACGCCTATTTGGCCAGGCGACCAGACAAAATGTGTCATTCCATGCCAATGAATCATTTTTATAAGTCTTAAAATGCTGTTTATCTCTGGACAGTCTGAATAAATGTTATTCATAGCTTTCAGATAGTGCTGGCTTTAGACATTGGTAGTCCTGGGGCAATGACCTCATATCCTCCTAAAAAAACATATATTTCTTAAGCTGTTTTATTTATATTATGTAATATTTGAATTTTTATTTCCTTCAACAGTTCTCCAATACGGTTGCTTTATTGATAGATTAAAATTAATAGTTTCGTATTTTTCTTTCACTTACGTGTATATGTAATATATAGTAAGGATAAGTATTGCGATTGTGAAAATCTTCGAATCTCAGTTTTCAATGGAAATACATGTTTTGAGGTCCCCTGAGTCCAAATAACCAAGTGTCGCAAAATGGTCTGTGTTTGTGTGTTAAGTCTTGCTCATAAACAAAAAGTAGTACGAAACTGATATTAAGTATTTAAGGTTTGTATATGGGCCGGATGTGACAGCAAATTTGTTGTTAAAATCAGCTAACCGAAAGTGCCACTTTATATGAACGCTGATACACATTTATACAATTTTCTCAAAAACGGCTCTTAACGATTTTGATTAAACTCGGTGTAACATTGTATAATTAAGTGGTCTTTAATATCATTTAAGTCTTATGTCACCTTACAGTGCTTAAATGCCCAATGTTCATGTATGTCTTCCTCTAAAGTACCTTTAATTTGGTTTATTTTAAAAAGTTAATCATTTCACATTATTCAGAGTTACGAAAAAATGCTACATATAACTTTTAAAAGAATTTGATAGGTTAATAAAGGAGAAAAAAAAATAAAACTGCAGGAAAACCTGCATTGCTATAGACTGTAGCGCCTAATGAAACTTCGCTAAAGTAATTATCTCGACACCCTTTAAATTTATGTATATAACATATTTCAAAGAAAAGAAGCTGGTAAAAAAGTTACGAGGGATGGTAAAATTAAATTCTGAATAACTCAAAAAGTATACACTTTTTTGTGGATATTCTATATGGTTTTTTAAAAGTTTATGGAATTTCCTAAAAAAAAAAACAAAAAAAAAATTGTTAAAATCGGACAATTAGGAGGAAAGATATGGTCTCTAGTTTTTTCCCCTGAAGAGGCGAAAATTTGGATAAATTTAAAATATAATTTTTTAATTGTTGAGACTAAAAAAAACTTTTTTCTACCGATTGTTCCTTTAGCATAAGAAATGCACAACTTTATCTGCAAGATAAGCTAAATTTCAAAGAAAACATGGATCGTGTTGACTATTACAGGCTCACCTATAAAAGATATTTTGCTGTCCGGGCTTTGAAAAGCTCTTTATGGAAGAATGGTCAAATATGAACATCGAACAGACATTAAACCAACAGAAAAATAAACTCAGAACTGGATTGGATTGTTTCTCCTACACCCGATATACTTTACAAAACACCTCCCGACTACCGCTTGCCATTCTAATCAATGGCCCATTATCATCTAGAATAACCTTCTAAATCTCTGGAGGAGGTTCAATCCGTTACAAAATAATGGTATATAATAAGATCAATATTAATTTTTAACAAATGTGTTAGAATAAAGTTCATTTAAAAAAGTAGCAAGAAAACCAGTTGATGACCAATTTCATTAAAATAAGTGAACAACAAGAAAGATTAAATTATAAGGATTTTTTTGAATTTCAAAACATCAGTTTCTTTTTAGCGATTTGTATTTAAGTTGGTAAGTTTAGAAAAATGTGTTTCATATAAAAGCTCTAATATTGTGTGTAATTTAATATTTTATTTAAACATTTAAGATACATCACATATAAAAAAACAGATAATTAAATCAAAACAAAAAAATATGGTTCGCTTCCTGTTAGATTTAGAAAAAATTGTATTTACAAAAATGTTAGATAATTTTAAGCTGTTTAATATTGAATATAATGATTTTGTATCTATGTTGCTTTAAAAAAGAGAATTTAGTGTAAGCCAAAAGAAGTTCTAAATTTCAATGGTTTTTGGAGCACTGCAGGGAACCCACAAGGCTTTCAACTTAGATATTTTATATCCACCTCATACCTGACAATATGAAAAATAAATTTGAATTATCCGATCTTTTTCATTAAAATCGGCTAATCGGATGTGACACTTCATTCTATCGGTTTTACACATTTTTACAATTTTCTCAAAAGCGGCTCTGACGATTTTATGTGCAGTATGGCGGACGACAGACAACATTTTTTTAATCCCCTTTTTGAGTTCTACGTATCGTGAAACGTAAAAACTTAAATTTTTAGAGAGGAGATTAAATTTTTGAATTTTTCGGACAATTACAATGGTATAAAACATAAAACCGATATAAAACATTGCATGAGTTGATGTACCACTTTCAAAAAATTCTAATCCAAAACGAAGGATATAAGTAGAGACCGGATTTTCGTGCAGTAAAAATCCGAAATCGTGCAGCAAAAAAAACTCAAAATCGTACAGTAAAAATTGAAAATACATAAAATTGTGTAATTAACATCTAAAACATGAAAAATAATCAATTTATAACATTAATATGTCGAAATCTTATTAGATCATGAGTTATCGAGAGATAAAAAAAAAATTAAAATGACAGAAATTTCATTTTACAAAACACTTGGATCAAATATCTATTAATTTTTCTCTCTACATAATAAAGTCTGGATAATTAAGAGACAAAAAATGCAACATATTTGTTCGAATTATTCTTAATTGGTTAATAGATCAATTGTTTGACATATAAGGAATGAGATAATGCAGAACATTGAAGATTTGAAGAAAGGAATTATAGGAACTCTTACATTAAATAGACCAGACTAATTTTAAATGTCTAACTTCTATTAAAAATAATAATGAGAACTTTGTTTTAATTAAGTTGAAATTTGCAATATTATACATTCTAAAACTTTTTTATTGAAGTGAAACTTCTTTAGGCGCGTTTTGCACTATTTTGTGGAGAGTGAATTAGATTGATCCATCAGATTTCGTTCGTTAAAGTCGGATAGAGTCGAATAATTAAAATGTTTTTACATCTCCATTAAATATCTCAGAAATTATAAATTGGGCCTGCATACTGTAAGCAAGGAAATTATTCGGCTTTTTATCCTCTCTTTAATAGGCTATAATTCAAAATTGTATCTTACATGCGATACCATGTTAGGGGGGAGTGGGCGAAAAGGAAAAAATAGTGTCGAAAAACAAATTATAACGAGTTTAGTTGATCATATTAATTAAAATATTTCATGTACTAAAAATCGGATCTGTATACTGTTGGCAAGAGAAATTTTCAGCATTTCATCTTTCAGATAAAAACTATGATGTAAAAAAAACCCAATGGAGGTGAATCAAATTCTTGAAAGAATAAATAAAATAGACA